ATGCTTGTTGATAGACATCGCTTCTGTTTCACGGATGAGGGTAGCACTATGCATCCAATGCCTATACTGATAAACATCATGGAACATCATGCTGTAGAGATCTTGTCCCTGCGGCTGCAGGAGCCGACAGGAGGCTGTTGGTGAGCGTTAAATATTGATGACTTGTCAACCGGGAGCAATTGAGGACGTTGCGATGTATGATGTATGCTGATGATGCTTCTCGATCATGATGGGATGGATGGAGCAGAAGTGGCTTCACGGCTGGCGGATGATAAAGCAGAAAGTCTAAGGTGGTAGGTAGAGAGGAGAGGAGAGGAGAGGAGAGGAGAGAGCCCGGGCCGGGGTAAAACTGCACTAGAGTTCCAGCTGTCAATCTCTGTGGGTTCTGTGCTTGGCCAGGGAAGGACTGGGCAAGAATTTGATGAGCCAATCGTGGTACGCTGATGGCCGAATCGAGTAGTCGCTTGGAACCCCTGCGCTGCCAAGATTATTCCCTTGTAGTTGCATAAAGTAAAACAGATCCAATGGGATCTTCATTTTTGGCTGGCGATGATCAGATGACAACTCAACAGGTATTACACGGCATGAATCTGATAGACTTAAGCATTAAGTTTGTATGAGCCTCAAGTTACATACCTACCCATCTAAACAGTGTTTGGAGACCTGATGTGCAACGTTCCTACCCGTATCTTGCGTTCTCAGTCTCACAAACGTGGGATATGCACCATCTGTGTAGTGGCATTGGCTGAAGAATCTTCGTAGACGGTTATCTACATACCGCCGCCGTCTCTCAGAAGCGTAACTGGAATCAAGAAGAACACGATAGATAAAACAAGGGTAGGTAGGTCAGTAAATAAGTGAGCATGTGATATGACTCTCATTTCCCATATCTTTCTAAACACCATCATTTTGTAAATGGTGGTGTCTTAGCCAGACATCACATTCAATTGTGTCTACGGAGAAACACAATGATACCAAGCGACAGGGTTGTAGTTTCGTAAGACTGATGATGGTGATAACCAAAAAAGGTTATCTGAGAACGGACAATGCATACCTGCGTGTTGATCACGATCCTCGTGACTCAATTTGTGTTCATGATGAAAAGCCTTGGTCCAAGACGTCGGGTTCGAGGTTGGCCTCAAGAATAAGGTGGACGTTCGGACAATTGCATGTGCTACAGCACCCATGTTCTGGAAGAAAACCGCACACGCCCCCCCTAGATACATTTACAGATCCTCTTTCTGCTTCGGACACGGTTTATTGGAATAACCCCTGGCTATTGCTGCTGCTGCAGCTACCCTAGGAGACACACCCCTAGAGCTAAGCTATTGCGGGCCCGTGCCCAGTGGAAGCCCACCGCTACCTTATAAGCCGCCTCCACATCAAAAAAGAACTTAGACACACCCCAGCTCATTTTTTAACAATACCTTACCTTACCTTACCGTTCTCTCTTGTTTCTGGCTGATTGCTTTGCCTCTCAAAAGTCAAAAGGATTGGCAAGATGAGACCAGACAAAACATTGTTTTCACTCCTTTTCGATTGCAAAATTTGTGGCGTCAATCACCTCACCGGTTGCTTTTCCTCTTTTGGCCTCTTGTCATCGGGGTATTCACATTAGTTATCTTCTTATTTACTACCAAATACTCGCTCGCCCACGGCATTTCTCACCCTCGTGCAGATCTACTTGTTTCCCCCATTCCTCCACTCTGACCCCTGTGAGATGATAAATGCATACGCCGTGTCTGTGTGCCAAGGTGTTGCCTTGCCTCTCCGTACCGTGCTCTCCGCTCATCGCCCACTCCTCTAGGCTCTCACTCATCCATCTGATTCATAGCCCTAACAGGGATATCACGAGACTACTCCCTTGATAAACTAATCTAGTACCTCTCCGCATTCACTTACTCACGAGGCTTCGGGTTACAGTTGGCTAGAAGCATTAAGTCGACTTCCATAACAAACCCTACCTAGTACCTACTTAGTTAAACCCCACCCGCCGACCTATCTCCTACGTATCTCTGTATCTATTTAACCACTCACCCGCACTCACTTTTTACCTTTCGACTCTTCTTCACTAAACTCTCATCTTTCAATACTTCTTTCTTCAAGCACACGTCTCTAGATACCCATCTCCAGTGTTTGAAAGCATCAAGCATCAAGCTATCTCAAGATATTCCCACCAAGACCTCGTATTCTACCATCTGAGCCAAGTGACAATGGCTCCCGATCTCAACTCCCTCCCTCCCTCTAATGGAGAGAGCAAGACTGCTCCTCAACTCTCTTCAGAGTCTGAGACACCCAACATCCTCTTTATCATGGCCGATCAACTGGCTGCTCCTCAACTGAAGATGTACAACCCCAACTCTCAGATCAAGACACCAAACCTCGACCGCCTTGCTTCAACTGCTGTCCAGTTTGACTCTGCTTACTGCCCCTCACCACTCTGCGCCCCCTCGCGCATGAGTTTGATCAGTGGCCAACTACCTATGAAGATTGGGGCTTACGACAATGCTGCCCAGATTGGCTCTGATGTGCCAACTTATGCTCACTACCTCCGTAGAAAGGGCTACCACACTGCTCTTGCTGGCAAGATGCACTTCATCGGTGACCAACTTCACGGTTACGAACAGCGACTTACCAGTGATATCTACCCTGGCGACTTTGGTTGGGCTGTGAACTGGGATGAGCCTGACACCCGCCTTGAGTGGTACCACAACGCCAGTTCCATTCTTCAAGCCGGTCCCTGTGGCCGAAGCAACCAGCTCGACTACGACGAGGAGGTCATGTTCAAGAGCACTCAGTACCTTTGGGATCACGTTCGAGAGGGCCCTAAGAAGAAACCTTTCGCTTTGACTGTTTCGCTTACTCACCCCCACGACCCTTACACCATCACCAAGAAGTACTGGAACCTGTATGAGGATGTCGACATCGCCCTACCTGAGGTGAAGATGAACAAGGAAGACCTTGATGCCCATAGCCAACGCCTTCTTAAGGTCTGCGACCTTTGGGACCAGGACTTTTCAGAGGAGCAGATCAAGCGCGCCAAGCGAGCTTACTACGGCTCAGTGAGCTATGTTGACGACTGCATCGGTCGCCTTTTAGAGACACTCGAGGATGCGGGTCTGGCAGAGAACACCATTGTAATCTTCAGCGGTGACCACGGCGATATGCTGGGCGAGCGTGGACTGTGGTACAAGATGAGCTACTTCGAGTCATCTGTTCGAGTTCCCATGTTAATCAACTACCCCAAGCGATTCACTCCCCACCGCGTCACTCAAAATGTTTCAACTCTCGATCTTCTACCAACTATCTGCGACTTGGCCGGCATTAAGCCAGAACCCTACTTGCCAATGGATGGAATCAGCATGCTACCGCATCTCGAAGGCCGTGAAGGTCACGACACTGTTATTGCAGAGTACACTGGCGAGGGTACTGTTCGTCCCATGATGATGATCCGACGCGGCGATTGGAAGTACATCACCTGCCCAGCCGACGAGCCTCAACTTTACAACCTTACACGCGACCCTAAGGAATTGGACAATCTCGCCCGCTTTAGAAAGATTGCACCACAGACATCCGAGCAAGAGGAAGCCAAGGAGGTCTTTCACAAGTTCGAGGCCGAGGCCCATGCTCGCTGGGACTTTGATGAAATCACCGAGAAGGTCCTTCTATCTCAACGCACACGACGAGTTGTGTGGGACGCCCTCAAGGAGGGCGAGTTCACTAGCTGGGACTTCAACCCGGATGATGATGGCAGGAAGAAGTAAGTGGATAATCCAAATCCTCCCCACAAGTGATCGATGCTCCGGAAAGCCACGAAATCACATCATCGCATAGTTTAAGACGTGCTAACGCCATACGCCGCAGGTACATCCGCTCCACCATCCCTCTTGATGACCTGGAACGCCGAGCTCGTTATCCATTTGTTGATGCTAATGGATACGAGAGCAAGGCCGTATCCCATGTTCGCAGCACCTAAACTTCACACCCCAAACACTATTAATGAGCCATGACCGAGGAATCTTTTTGATTGGTGTCGATTCGGCGTTTTTCACTTTAGCGGTTATTCTTGATGTTAATATAGTATGGAAGATATTGGATTTATGACCTCTTTTTCTCGCATCAAGCATAGCCAGCTATGATTTCTTGTATTTAAATTGATTAAAAGCTATAAATTGATTGAACTGGACTATAATGAGCAGAACTCTTGTTGTACCTTTCGGCCTATCTGCCCGTCAGTCAATCTCATTCTGTAGCTTAGAAACTTTTAGCAACATCGAGCTGATATCAAGCTAGTAAGCAGCTGTTTATGTAGATTATCAATCGGTGTCATCTCGTATTATAAGATCACCATCAGCTGTGAGAAACATCCATCCAATAACTTGGATATCCAAATCGTTCACAATTCCAACAATATCACAAATGTCATCCTACGAAACAGCGGAGTGTCGGTTTCCGGGCCCGATGCGGCCGATCGCCCTGTGAGATCGACGTCGTTACGGCGGCACCCACGGAGCTTGTCATGTAAGCGTAGATTGTGTGATTATGGCGCTGATGTCGCAAGACGGCCCATGACGTTGATGAAATTATCAAAATCTGGGGTGAGTGGAGAGATCTCCGCTTGTTTCAGGGTCTAGGCGTTGTATTAGAAAAGTTCCGCACGGAGTAATGTAGGGTGTTGATATAAGGGGAGGCTTTCGTGCCTGAACTGCCAGGCTTGATATTCGAGCTGAGCTTTGGGGAAGCTCCGCTACACCGAGGCTCGGTGTGCACCCGGTGACGGGCGCGCTTTGTTCTGGAAGCTTTGAAATGCCCCGCGCCAAACCCGAATTTCTTTTTACAAGCATCTATTACTTTAATTACCGAGCATCAGAAACTTGCTATCTCTGGAGTAGCATTGGCTATCAGTATCGCATATTTTTGCAGCATCATTCGCCAACTGCAAACTATTCACGCCCAGCAGAAACAATCCTCTACATCCCACCACTTCCGGCGAAGACATCATGGCTACTCTTAACTTAGATGACGACGAGCTCAAAGCTCTTGAACAGACGCTGAGCAAGGTCGCTCAACTGTCTAGTAGCGTGCAGAGCTTCAGGCAGAATCTACTGAATAGCAATCCCCTCCCTCCTCCGTACGCCTCCACACCGCAGTGCGCCATCATAAGACAGCAGCTAATATCTCGTCCTAGAAAATCAATTCAAGCCTCAGCCAAGATTCTTCAAAAGAACCTCAAGTCGCTTCTTGAGAGCACAAACGAAAATGCAGACCTCTTCAATCGCATGGCCATCCGACCCTCGACGAACTACCCCGGCCGAACCCAAGAAAACGTGCTTCTGCAACTACTACGCAAGAAACTCGAACCCGACGTCGAAGAATTCGTCAGTCAAGGTCTTGAAACAGCACGACTCGCTACACCTGAGGGTCTGGAATCTCTAGAACAAATCTGGCGCGAATTGCGAAGTTGGCTCTCGGACCGGGTAATCCATTTCATATCGACTGAGAACAGCGATCCATATACGGCGGAAGAACGTGCAAATGGAGTAAAGAATGTACGCACTGGTCTACGAAGGCCTATAGATGACGATGAAGAAGAGGACGAGGAGGAAGGCGACGAAGATGAAGATGACGATGAGCCAGAGAAGCCAGATATCCCGGAAGTCAAGGTGCGAGGAGCAGAACCAGAGACATTACTTTGGTTTGCGGCACGGGGAGACTTTGAGGTGCCGCGCAATGTCGAGTATGAGCGCAAAGTGGATGTCTACAAGGGGTTCCAAGGTATCAACATACCACCCAGTGACCAACAGCAGCAACAACCTCAGCAAGGCTTTGTTCCTTCATGAGTCAGTGATCTGATGGTCGGACCCAGAGGCGTTGTGGCATTCTGCCATCAGGTTGGCAAGCTATGTTAGCTCAAAGGCGTTTTTGGGGGATTGCGAGTGAGTGGTTTGGTGTTGATATACCCAGTTAGTAGTGAGATAAGCTGACGGCTGTTTAGGTCTGATGCGTTGAGATAGCAGTATCTAGTCGGAGATCACAGACGGGCTTCCAAGTCCTAATGTATCGCTTCCAATATTCATACAATTCGAAAGCAGTGCATGATACAGTTGATACAGTCTTATTGCGACTCTTCTCCACAATGCTCTGTACGAACATCTCGGTACTTTGCTTCATGACCAGGCTGAGGACAGGACATCTCAGCTCGAGTTGGAGACATTGAAAGCCAATTGGTATTCTAAGCTGACCTCATTCCAATCCTCATCCTCGGTTCTATACAGATATTAGCTTCAACTTTCAAGCCAGAGCTTCATCGCGCCAAGCCCATGTTGTCCAGTAAGCTGACCTCAAGACGGCTGTGGCCGATTCGCGCGTGCATCTGCATCAATCATTCGTCGCCATGCTCAGCCATGTCGTCACTCAAACGCCCTCAGGCGTCAAAGCTACCAATTCCCCGCGTTTTTGACAGCACATGGCTTGAGCTCACGAGACTTTGGCATTGAGAAAAATATCGGGACAACTGATAACCTTAACTGGTCGTTATGCTTTCTCGCACTGCCGAATATTGGAGACATGATGGGCGGGCTACTTATACAGCTGTGAGGAGAAGCTCGACTGAACATCATCTCCTCATCATCATTCCCTGAGCTGCCATCTTCACGCAATTCACGCTCCGTGGTGATGGCCTCTTATCAATTATGTTGCCACGGCGCTGGTATGCCTCCCGATACATATCCCCGTATCTCAGAAGCGTCTCAACCGCACATGGATATCGTGCCGATCAATGAAGCCATACCACGCACGATGCCATGCTTTGCGACCGAGAGAGTTGACAACAAACTCACTTTCCTGTCATTGCCTCTCGAAATTCGACTTAATATTTACCATTGGCTTCACCTTATGTGCCCAGTTCGCCACGCACAGCTTGCACCGTGGTATCCAACCCCAGTGCATTGCCAATACATCCTCCAGACAGTTGATATAGACGATGCAGACACTGAAACTGAAGAGGATAAAACGAACCGTGACGAGCAAAAGGACATAGGGCTGCTGTCGCCGTATCGTCCCCTCTCGGGTCTTCCTACGAGCCTCCTTCGCACGAACCGCCAGATTTACAGCGAAGCACGTCTTTTACCATTCACCCAGAACGAGTTTGTCTTTGTAAACTGGTTCGCATCAGGTCTCTGGGCCGCCCGTGCCTTCACTCGAGCCCTAGCTCCATGGCAGCGAGGTTCTCTCCGCTATGTTCGGTTGGAAGTACTTGCACGAGACGTAGTGGTCGGAGGCGCAGGCCGTGAGGAATGGCGCGCCTTGTGTACTGAATGGGCATCTGGAGTCAGAGGACTTCGGATGAAGATGGTTCTCGGAGCGAGTACATCGGTAGTGACAGGCCCGGCGTTCGGAGGCGGAGTGGAGCGTAGGGCCGAAGCAGCACGGCGATGGGTCGGCGAGGGACTTGCCCTGATGGAACGACTGGAGAGGGTTGAGATGGAGGTTGTTGCAAGAGAGATGAGCGGTTTAGACAAACTTGAGTGGTGCGAAACGCTGCAAACAGAGTTGAGAGAGGCAGGACTGGGGAGGATTGTGGTTGTGTGTACTGAAAAGGTACAGGAGAAGATGAAATGGATCAAGGGTGATGTTGGATGGAGAAACCCAGAGACTGAAGTCGGAGCTGTTACGACGGCCATGGCAAATAATTTGATGGCAGAAAGGGCTACGAGCTCTAGCGCATAGTTGTTGGAATGGGAATATTTTATGCCTGATGGAGGGAGTCCTTACTGGCCAAGATTGGTATGGCACTGCGTTACGGAGTTGAAGCATACGAAATTGAGTTAGGGACTGCACAGTATCAGTTTTTGTACTATACTGAGAACGATACACCTTCAAATGCCGTTCCTGCTCTCCTGTAAACTGTTGATACGCATTGTGTCATGTGAATGATATTACTGATGCTCCGATGAATAGGAAGACGTCACAAGGAACACAAACCAATTTGGTCTGTCCAATTGGAAACGGCCCAATTCAATGCCAAGTTTCAACATCTGACCGTTGACGACCGTTCCACAAAGCAAAGTGCAACTCCCAGAACAAACAAAGGCTGCTACCACACCGCATACAATAGCAAATCCGAGGCTATTCGTGACATGTATGTATAGGCTAAATGCCGAGGATATCCATAACCAAGATAAGAAACAATGACGATGAATAACAGTAATAATTGCATAAGATAAGCAAATGGCGCTGTAGTAAGCCCGGGACAATAATTAGGACGTCTTTGCACGAATACCTACCCCATGTGACTTCGCGCAAGTCTCGCCAGACTGTTCCGCATGAGTCACGTACTGTAGTAGCACTGCAAACGCGGAGTCCAACTTTCTCTAATCTCTGAGCGATAACGGGGGCGAGGCCTTTGTTCTACTGTGTTAGTAATACTCTGTTTGTGTTTCTTCTTTATAAATTTGTTGTTTTGAATCGAGTTGAATCCTTCAAGCCTCGTTCTTTTTATTCAAGTTGGCATCCAATTGGTGATTACTGAACCCCGCCTCCACACGACGGCGCAGTATCGAAACCTCCCTCCACCTCGAGTTTCGTGTGCTGAGTTACGAAACGGCGTTTTGAACTGAGAATCGAAACTCTGCTTACGAATCTCGTCACCACTGAAATTCGTCGTTACAGAGTCTAGTCGAGAATCTTTCTCTTGTTCGCAATCATGGAAGCCAGGTGTCAATGTGGTTCAGTGACCTTCAAGACTCCCCTCCCTCAGCCTCTGGCGCTCTACATCTGCCACTGCGATGCTTGCAGACGACAAACTGGTTCAGCATTTGGCACTTCTGCCATATTTCCTCGGTTCGAGCTGCCTGACACGGATCTACTGAGCGTTTACAGGTGGGAAACAGCTGTTTGGTGTTACGAGCTGGACTAACTGGCTTGGGGTATCATAGTCGACCTACAGCCTCAGGACATCAGCTTTACTGGTAGGTGTTTTAGAAGCCTCATGTTTGTTTGACTGGGCGCTAAGCGTTACAAACAGTTACTTCTGTCGCAAATGCGGAACTCGTCTCATTCACTCAACGCCGGTACGTAATCGCATCTTGGCTTACAAGTCATCTCACACTGACCCAACATACCTTAGTCGAAAAACGTCATCTCCGTGAAAGGAGGATGTCTTGATGGCCTGGACTGGAAGCGAGCGATTCACATCTGGACCAAGACAGCCATGGTTCCTATTCCCGAAGGATCTGAAACGCACTCTGAAGAGTCCGGCTATACGGACTATGGATCAACTCAGGAGGAGCTGGATCAGCCTGGGGATCTCGTTGGAAGCTCGGGCTGTAACATGCCTGTTAGCCAAAGGGCCTCGAGCTCTGCTGGGGTGAATGGCGATGATACCATGAGTGGATGAGTATTATGAGATGAATGACGGCGTTGGTGGGTGTTGATAGGACAGATTGTGGCTTTGGAGTTGAAACATGTCACTTGATGAGAGTACGTATTGGGATGTGATATCATGGGAATAGGCGCAATAAACGAGTAGCATATTCATAGTATGAAAATGATGAGTTGTGTTTGAGGAGTTTTCATAGTCCTGATAACTGCCTATTCTAGAGGATGCAAGGAAACCAAGAATCTCTGTCACAAGTATGAATAAACGTAGGTAAGTTCGAGATAGATTTTGAGCAACTCTAGTACGGAGCATATACTTTGTAGTTCTTTAGACTCTGTGCCTTGGTTATTTTGGCACCCTTATCAAACATCAGAAGTTGTCTCTGAGGCCGTGTTGTGGGAATGGGAAACAGCCGAGTGAATAGGTAGCTAAGGCATGTGGATGATGAACATGAGTTAGTAGGCTTATTATTGCTTAGGTATTGCTAAGGTCTGGTAATAAACTTTGCCTATTTAGAAGCCCAATGGCACAATCCCTTGTTAATATTGTAACCGTATATTTGTAACGGCATTGTCTTTAACCTTTCCCTAATAATGACGTGCATCTATCATCCCTGTATACAATCGCTGTAAGTTTGATGAGCACTAACAAGTAAAAGAGTTTCTTTCAACAGCACTTAGAATCTACGTCTTACAATTGGTACGCAAATCTCAAGACTCAGCCTTATCCTGTAAGTAAATTGATCAATTAATTAAAAGCTGTCAACTCGAAACTTGACGTCCATTAGCTTCCGGTAGTGTACCTAATCAAATGAGGGCTCTTGAATGGCTCTTGGCACTTCGGCCGATTCACTCAAAGTAGTGAGGTCGGGCCCCCTCCCGAAACCTCGGATGAACAAGGGGTGCTTCAGTTGCGTCTCGCTATTGATGGAGAATTCTAGGCATTTTTCGCTATATTTTTTTACAATGGTAATTCGTTCTCAAGAATGGCCTCTTTTTCGTGAGGTATAAGACCACAGCGGGAGAGACCGTTTGTGATATTTTGCTGTACCTGCATTTTGACCGCCAAGGTGGCCGCCCGTTGCCTGTCTTGTGATTATATTGCAGAAGCGCATTGTCTGTCGAGCGCTTACTAAAACTTCCTTGATATTATCGCAACATATCTCGTCTCGGTAACTATTGCCAAGTCCCGGCAAACGGTGGTGCCTTGATTAGCCCCCTCTAGTCCCATCTTGACAGGTAACGCCAAGTCTCTTGATGAAGACTTTGATATCGAGCTGAATTGTCGGGATGTGGCCATCAAACCGAGACTTTATACTCAATTTCGATAAAGTTATCAAACTAGCAAGCTTACACTGCAGATCATGAACCTGGTCTTCCAGTCATCACCAAGTAATATGCCTGATTCCCTCGAACTCCTGGTCGCGATAGCGTCTTTTTACCCCTGAACCCTAGCTCATCCCCAAACTCGCAACCCTAGCTCGTGCTAACCCCAAGCGTCACAAGTCTCCGTTTGAGCCTCAGATTCCAGAACCATGATGCACCAAAACGTGCCCCTGCTTCGTCTGCGACGGTGTGTGCGGCGGAGAGGCACGGCTTGGCTTGGGTCTGAAGAAACCTGAATCATCCCATTTCTCTTCTCCCCCTCCCCTCCCTTTGCTTCTGACCTTTTTTGACTCTGAATTGTGTTGTTCCTGTGTTATGTTTATTGTTTTCTATCCGTCGTGACCTTGTCAATCGCTCGCTCTTTTCCATTGATTGACTTTGTAAGTTTGGTGCTGCCCGGGCTTTGGACTCGGCGGTGCTACTACTACCCATCGTCACGTCTTCTCTTCTTGTTCTGCCCCGGGCAATCATTCTTTTACTGTCCCTTTGACTGAACGATTTTTAATACATACTCGACATCTCATCTCCAAGATCTAATCGTTACTGTCGAACTGTTATATCTGTCGCTCTTTACATCTGGACCGTAAAAGCTCATAAACAGCTGGACTGTTGGAACATTATTCACTACACCAAATCGAATACTGAAAGTTATTGGGGAGCTTGGATCATCATGAAGTTGTTGCTTTGGCTTACCGCCGCCCATGTTGCGCAGGTGAGGATATTCAAACTCACACCGAGATACCTTACTACAGAATCAAGAAACTGACTTTGACTGGAATAGGCCGCGGGAAGACATGGGATAATGAAAAAGAGGCAGGCAGAGGTTGAGGGGGTTGCTCATGCGCTCAAGTTCGAAGGGTGAGTTTAAGCCACACCACAATACACCAAACTTTAGTTGTCAGTATTAACAAATCTCTAGACTGAGGCTGTCTTATATCACCGAGACTGAAACTGCTACTCAAAAAGTTACCGAGACAGAGACGGCGACTGTTGTGCAGACTGTCCAGGGCGAGGCTGAAGCTGCCGCTGGCGAGGTTGTCACCGTTACCATCAACGCACCTCCAGTTACTGTCACCGAAACCAAGACTGAAGTCGTCAACCAAGTCCAAACTCAATATGTCACTCAGGTTCAGGTCATGACTCAATATGTTACCCAGGTCGCAGCAGCTCCTCCTGCAAGTAATCTGAAAACCCTTTCGAAAGACCACTATGCTAACTAAACGATTTCCAGCCTGTCGTTGAAACCGTTACTCAGGCTGTAAGTCCCATAGCTTGTATCCTTCAGCTGTTACTAACTCCTCTAAGCAACTCGTTACAGTCATCATTCCAGGAGAAGCACCAGTAAGTTCTTTTGGTCGAAACTCGTATCTAATACTGACTCAGCCCAGGCGCCTGTTACTGTAATCCACACCGTGCAAGCCCCCGCAGAGTCTGATGATGCTCTTGGTCGAAAGTTCAACCCTGGCGTCACTACGATCCCCATTCCCGAGAGCCTTTTGCCCAAGACGACACTCGCATCGGATCCCTTTGCGGTGGTCGGACCAATCAGATCGGAAACTATTGTTCCTCAGCAACCTTCCAGCACTGTTAACCCTGTTGCGAATCCTGCCCCCACGGCGGTTGCTCCTCAAGAGCCCAGTTCTGCTGGGCAGCCCGCCACGACTCAAGTTGCGCCTGTAGAACCCAGTTCTATCGAGACGCCTACGACGACACAGCCTGCAGTTTCCAAACAACCTACTACTTCTGCTGCGCAACCCGCTACTACGGAGTCCACCGCTCCTCAGCAGCCTGCCAGCTCCATCGAAGAACCCATGGTTGAACCGTCTTCCACACAAGGAGGACAGCAGACATACGCTCCTTCAATGGAACTCGGCAATATGGGCCCCGACACCACAGGAAGACTCGCACAGCCCGCTCTCGACGGAACCAAGCCCACGACGACTGCCAACGCGGAGTCAGCTTCCAGGACACGAGCCCCCATCGATTTGTCCGACCCTTCAAAGCTCAGCAGCGCGCTCAACCTAGGCAACTTGGTAGGAGGAAACGGTGCCCTCAAGGCTCGCGCCACTGGCACGCCATGAATCTATGGTTGAAATCCGTTGGAGACGATGACGTGAATGGTAAAAAACTTTGAGACGGACTTGGGGGTTTCTTTCGAATGGGCATTCGTGCTCGTAACGTTGTAGCTAGTCTTATAATAATGTGAGCAAGTCTCCAGAGTATACCAGTCAGCTTGTGCATCTATCTATGGGTATCATGATGCTATGCTGTCTACCTATTCGCGTTCCAGGGCGCCAATCTCAAATTTCTTATTCCTTCTCACTTGCTGCATTCCTCGAGGCCAGCCTCATCTTCTTGGCCTGCCGTTTGCTGATCTGCTGTGTATCCTCATCGCCAGGCTTGCGCTTTTGATTCTGATTTTGACCCTTGTTCTTTGACTTCTTGCCATCCTCAACTTTTTCTGAGCCCTTTTCTTTCTCGGCCACTTCAACAATGTTGATGACGCCCTTGAAACCATTCCTCTTGATGCCCTCATTCACCACAACAGATCGAGGCACTTCACCAAACCCTTCAAAGCCTTTCTCGTTGCTTAACCCTCCCATAAAATTGAGCATGTTTATCACATCGGCAGGCGCTCGCAGAGATAGCGCATTCTTGGCTTCGCTGCTAATCATGATGCCCCTGCCGCGCGTCGCCCGGATGAGACTTTGCAAGTTTGAGATAAACCTTGGGCGCCCTCGATCATCACCATTGATCACTTGGCCGTAGCAGACCTCGAAGCGGATGCCACGGTTAATAGCAGCCATGCATGGCTTCGGCTTAAGATGGAATTGCAAGTCCTGTGTCAAGTCGAGTGATATGATGGGGACGTCGAGCGTGAGACAAGCATTCTGAAAGGCCTTGTCCGTCAGTGGACGGGCCGCGATGATGTCGTATGTCGAGATGAGCGATGGGATTCGGAAGTTGTTGGCCGAAGGATCTGAGAGAGGAAGAGTCGCGCGGTGGAGGATGTTTGGAAGCTTAGAGCCTGGCTTGGGCTCTATTGTTGGGAAGGGCGCGACGTTGTTGGCGGGAAGCGGCAGCGTGAGCGTGTGGTTCAGGGCGACGGTTGAGTACCCGAGTGTCGATGCGCGAGTGAGTGTTTGGAGAAGCTGTTCGTCTTTGGTCGTTGGTGACCAGGCGATATTCAGATCGTAAATCATGACGATGGGTTGAGGAGGTTTGTTGAAAGCTTTGCGCAGGAACCGAAACTAGCATTGCCTTGTCGATTTTTTTTGCGCCGCAAAGTTTACAGGTTCTATATTTTTAGCTTAGTACCTTACTCTACGGAGTACCACCATCATTTTAGAAGTCGCAGAAGGGACAGGCCATATTACACAGATCTCATTACATACATAAATTGATTTAGAGAGTATTATCTGCAATTACCATGAGATGGATAACAAAAACACAAGAACAGTATAAATCCAATCCCCAAGCCTCGCTAGTCAGAGCATCCATTTCTGGCTGGAGCAGTGAGCTTCCATTAGTCGTAAAAAGCTATGGTCCGTGCACAGTGAGCGTTGCCACTAAGAGCCGGCCCCTGTCAGTTCGTCATCATCTTGTTCTTGTACCTGTAAATGGAAACTCTCCTATACCGGCACTTATTAGTTTGAATATAATTCTTGCTTCTCTGTACCTAGATAACTTATAAATACTAGTAACTAGTACACTTGATAGTAAAGTCTTTATCTCTTACCAACGTTATAAAGCCAAAGTGTCTTATGCATGGTACGTGCATGCATGACCTTTGACCTTAACTTTAAAGCTTCCATGCCAAGAAACTGCGCCGCCCAAACTACGACTACAACGACGCGCCACTTGACCTCTAACCCCAGCTCCTGGATCGGCATTAATTGACTTCTCTTTAACACATCACATCACATCAATCACATCACACGTCTCACTACTTCAACGGACTTTCGCCTGCGGATTTCCACCGCTTCCCCTTCTTCCTGTTGGCGAATCTCTCTAAACATCAACAATGTTCTTCTTCTTCGTGTGCGGCGAGCACACATTCCGAAAGGAAGTCTCGGAATACCAGGGCATGATATTCCAATGTCACCACTGTGGTAACATGGCAGCATATGTCCAAAAGAGCAACCCGTGGTTCACGTTCTGTTGGATTGTAGGACTCCTCTTCTCTGGCTCCCCGTCACCTCGACTAACAACATCACAGCCGATCATTCCCTTGTCCATCTCTGGCTACGTCGATGTCGCATGCCGTATCTGCAACTTCCATCAACCTCTCGTAAACCGACCGGATGTCAAGGCCGTGACAAGTGGTGGAGGAGGGGGACCTCCCTCACAACAATACGCACCTCCTCACGGCGGACCCCAAGGACAGGCACCCATGCGATACGGCTAAGAGGAACGATCTTGTCAAATTTTGAGGAACATGCTTTCGACACAGGCGTAGCAAATTTGCGCCCTGTTAGTGTTCGATGTCGCGATAGTGCCTTCTTGGTTTGTGTTTGTTTAAAGAGGCGTTACAGCCTGGTGTTGAGGCGAATCAGGATACCCCATGAATGGGGCGATGGCTGGGGTTCTTTCGACAAAGAGCATTTCGCTTACATTCGATGCTACCAAGAGACTCTTTGACCTTGATATGTTGTTGAAGATAAAACGCAGGTGAAATTGAGCTCGGGACATGCGATTTGGGCGTATTTTGAAAGCACATAATGTATTTCCACTCATCTTGAGATACCAGCTTTTCGGAACATTTCAAGGCAGCTCTGCCTCTTACTCTAACCATTTCTGTCTACCCCAGTCTCAGAACTATTGATTGGCGCCTTTCTTCTTGAGGGAGCCAAGCCTCGTTGACTACCTACCTAGTGTCTGTAATCGTCCATCTTCAAAGTCCGTCCTGGCCTCATGTCTTGCACATACGACCAAAGCTCGGAGAGAATACGGGATCCCGTCCGCTCTCCCATAGTCAAGCTCCGAAGCGCCGGATTAGTAGTTGGGTCGGTGACGACCAGCGAATCCCCGGTGTTGTATGTTCATTTTTGTGCTTTGTCTCTTCTTGCGATGCCACTTTTTTGTGAATTTGGTGGAGATGTTAGTTCTCCATATTATTAGTGTAGACTTCCTGCGGCCCAAGAAGAGACCTTCCCGATTAATCTCCAATTCAAGGACCAATGAGTATGCGGGAAAGAGACGCGATGACATCCAAGACATTTGATCGTGTTTAAAGTCAACAATTATTCCATTGGATGTCTAGAAGCACGCTACAGACTTACCCATACGCGTTATGGACATGGGATAATATGATAATTCCCGGTTGCGGGGCAAACATTCACGGTTGGCAGCTACGATCTGTACCCTTGCTGTTTTAGCGGGCCGTTGCCCAGCAACGCCGCCAAACACGGCCTGTCCACTGAAGACCCTCGACCCGATCAGGGACCTGCAATAAACAAAATCTATCATCGTACATGATGCTACCTACTTAATCTCTTCCTTTTTCTTTATACTAACCATACACCAACAACACAGCGAACCATAATCACCATGGATTCACCACCCAAGAGAATGACCCGGGCTAGAGCTGCCGCAAAGGCTACTGATCCCTCGGTCAAGACCACAAAGATTGTCACAGCTGCTGCGCGGGCAAAGAGTACCGCGACTGCAGGCACAAAAAGCACAGCCGCTAAGAGAAAGACAAGAGCGGACGAAGAAGAGGAGGAGCAACGCGAAGTTGCTGTTGTCAGAAGAACGCGTGGTCGACCAAAGAAGACTGAGGACCAAGAATCTGAGGTTGAACCCGTAGCACCAGCGAAACCCACAAGAGGCCGTGCAGTCAAGAAGACGGCCACAGAGCCTCCCAAGGAGACTGCTGCACCTGTCAAAGCTACTCGGGGACGACCTCGGAAGGCTGTTGCTGCTGAACCAGAAGAGTCTGCCCCGGCGCCAGCCCCTGTACCTGCAAGAAAGACAACCACTCGCACTCGCACAACTACCACAACAACTACAACCACAAAATCAGCAACTTCTGCCAAACCTGCTGCCAGAAAGGCGGTCAAGTTCCAAGAGCCCGACAAGGAGAACATTGAGCCTACCACCGAGGCTAAGGAGCCTGCTCGGCCTGGAATTAGAGGCCGGCCGGCCAAACGTGGAGGAGCAGCTGGAAGTCGAACGACCAGAGCGGCGGTAAGATTCGCCGAGTCGACAGACAACAAGCCTTTAAGTCCTAAGAAGATTACCCAGATACCTGTTTCGAGGGACGATGATTCCGAGGACGAACTCGCCGGTGACATGCCGCCTGTCAAACCGATGAAGAAGAACCCGATCAAGCCTCCTACAAGTGCTGCTAAAGCCCAGCCTGAGCCGACTGAAAAATCTATCGAGTCAACAAATGCTTCAGATAACATCACAAACCCGCTAGATCTCGGCGGAATTAGCCTATCTCCCGCAAAGAGACGTCCAGCTTCGCCTCTCAAGGATACAATGAGATCACCAGCTCGCCGAATCGGTCCTGTTGCTCTGCCTGGATCTACAATGAAGAAAACCCAGGACGACACCGCCCAAGCTGTAGAGAGTACTTCGTTCAAGAATTCTTTGCTCATGTCCGCGGCGAAGCGACCTCAATCACCCATCAAAGGATTGAACTTTGCAACATCGCTCAAGCCTCAACAGACCCAGTCAGCAATGAAGGCGTCACTTCTTCTTTCACCTCCGAAGCGGGCCATGCCTGGACTGAAGCCGGTCACAGAGCCGCGACCTAGAGATGTCGCGGACCTGGGTGAACCACCAGTCATGAAGCCTCTGGTTATGGATACTCCTAGTCGTGCCCCTCCTACCCGATCTTCGGATAAGCTAATGTCGGAGGAGCAACCTGAGCTTGAGTTTGATGCTGTTGACGACGATGTCTTCAACGACCCAATTGAGAACTTGCAATTCCCTGGCCGGCTGTCTGCCGTACTTCCTCGTCATGCTGACCCTGCCTTGAAAAAAGAGATGGGGATTGTCGATGAGACTGACGAAGAACCTGCTCCAGTTGAAGCTGCCATCGAGACTTTTGAAGAACCTCAGGTGGAAGTCG